CACCCCCCCCCAGGAGACGGCTGAGTCCCGGCGCACTCGTGACATCAGATGTGCCGTGCATCCTCCGCTGCGTGCATGGGCGGCAGGGTAGGGATGGCCATGGGGTCCGGAAGGAGGACGGGCACGCTACGAATTTCTAAACCAGTGACTGGCTGGCAGCACAGCCTGCTCTGGTCATGTTTTCAGCCGCCTTGTCCCCAGGCTGGCTGGCAGTGACGCTGGCGGCTTGTCCCTGCGGGTTCCCAGCACGGGGTGCAGCAGCGGGGATGGGGGCCAGCCTGGACTCTCCGGCTCACGTTTAAGAGCCATGTTACACAGATACAAATGGGTCAGAGATGCATGCTTGTGAAACGGTGCTGCAGAAATAATGATCTCATTTCTGCCATCTATAAATAAATGAAGGTGAAAGGGCACATTTCCTACTCCCAGCCTTCCGGAGGCTGGATTAAGATTGAGAGCTGGCTGGCTGATGGATAGAGATCTTTTAAACATTAATAGATCTTAAATTATAACTGCTCTGTGATTGACATCTAAAAGATCATGCTGCAAAATATACCATTAAGGAATCGTAATATTAGTTATGTCACTGTTTATGGTCAATATTATTTTCTGGCTGTTGAGGATGACAAGTGGGAGGTGGTTTCCAAGGGAAATAGCTCATCTGCAAGTTTTAGGTTTTTCTTCTTACACAGCTAGCGGTGTGAGTCAGGGTTTCTGAGGGCCCCATCTCACTCACTGAGGTTCACCAAAGTCCCCTGTTTCTGCAGTGGGATCTTAAAATTGGTCAATGTTTTCTCTTCTTCAGCTCTTCCAAAAAAAATTAAAGTATGCCTAAATGTGCTGCTTAGCTTTCAGCTATTCGGCGCTTTTAAATCTATTGTCAGTCAGACGTGGGCTGCTCTGGGCGCAGGGAGCGGTAAGTGAAACACTGAGTGCAGGGCAGTAGCCCTGGTTTTGCAGCCCAGTCCTGGTGAGCACAGCCCAATACAACCTTTGTGCATTAATTTTGGTATATCTGGTCAGTGAGCGCACACGTGTGATTCTTATGTTGTGAAAACCCTCCCTGGCATTGCATGGGGTTGCCCAGCGCATTGGCTGCCGCAGCCCCCCAACATGCCCCTCTCCCTCCCAGGCACCCCCCGCCAGCTCTTACCCATCAGAGAGGCTGGCTCTGTGAGAGATGCTGATCCTGGTGAAGAGCCTCCTGTCTCCCTGGGTAACAAGCTGAGCTGCTTTCATGTTTGTGGGACTGCATTTTTTTTTTTTGAGCTAAATGCAGTTTTTCAATCCTACACATTGGGGTGTGCTGCTGCTGCTGCATCTTAAGTGGGGCTTGGTAAAAATTGGTATATACACCTGAGTTGCAACATTGGGTCTTCTCCAGCCTCCCTGGTCTGATGCACCGAGCTTGAAAGAGAAAAAACACTGCTGAGGTTTCAAACCTTGTTCACAGTAATTTGTTCTCCCTTTGGCTGGTGGCCCTGGGGACTGTCATCAACATGCTGTCCTCTGTAGCAACCCACAGCCCCCTCCCGCCTCTTGGCCCCTGTGTTTGCAGGTGATGAGGGCCCTGCTTAAATTCGGCACAGAGGAAGAAGTAGGAGACAAGTGGAGATGTGGAGCCTCCCCTTAGCATCTGTCCTGGGTCCACCCCGTTACCTGAGGTGGCTTCTTTATGGGTCCTCCCAGGAGCGGTGGTTAGTGCCTGCAGCTTGGCTGCCAGCGTGGGAACCGGTGCTCCTGGTTTAGCATCCCGTGCCCTGCGAGGTGTGCAGCCACTTGGCCTTATTGCCATCATGATCACTTGGCGTTGCCTAATTGATTGACTTGCCTAATTGATGTTTTCAAGTTAATTTATGAGCTGGTTGGAGATCCTTCCAAGAAGCAGTAGCAATGTTTGGGGCTGTTTGCTGTGACTTTTGGTCACAGGGCACCTCAAAGTGATGGATGAGCTGCAGTTTGAAGACTTACAGCTGTTACCAGGGGGCTCGCTTTTATTTTTAAGCACACGATGTCTCTCTAGCTGGTAGCAAAAGACTGTGCCGGGGCCCGGGGCAATGCTCCCTTCTCCCATCCCTGGTACTGGCGCAGCAGGGAGGGTGATCATGCCCTGGGCAAAGCACCATCGCAGAGGTTTGGCACTGTGGGTGCTCCCACATGCCTTTGGGGAGCTGGTGTCCCCACAGTGCTGCTGGGTGCAGGGGTGGATTTATGGGGCTGGAGGTGCTGGGGACCAGGGTGATGATGGCTGCCTCTGACTGCAGAGCTGGGCCCACTGGTGTTTTCCTTCCCACCGCCCCCATCGGAGGTAGCCATGGAAATCGATGGCAATGCTCTGCCCATGCAGAGGAGGCTCGGCTGTGCCACAGGGCTCCCCGAGCTTCCTCCCCCCCCAGGCACCCCTGGCCTGCAGGGGCCCTGAGCAAGCCTACCGGGTGCGCA